AATAAATTTTGGAGACAAAAATTTATCCCATTAAAAATATAATTAGGTGGCCATATTTAGATACTGGACCTAATATAATTTTTTTCAGTAATTTTCGGAATTACTGTTTGGGGTATTTTTATATTATTCTTATTAAGTAGTTTATGCGTAGAATACTTGTTATTTGTGCCATAAATACTTAATATTTATGAAAATTAGATTTTATATTTTCTGGGAAGTATTTGACATGTCAGTATAACTCAGAAATTTTAAAATCGATTTTTAGAATTAATTTCCTATTTTTCTATTTTTAAATTCGTTTATTGAATAGAAAATGGGAAAACTTATTTTTGACGATCAAAAATTAATTTTAATTCATAATAAGTTGCGACCAGAGATTTTAAGCTTGTATAAAAATTTTCATAATTTTTAAACACGTAAAAGTATTTATTTTGTATTTTTGAAGTAATTGAGATGATCGTGGCCTTGCGGCAGCTATACCAGGGGCAATCCAGGCATGAACGTTTTCTCGTGAGTAAGGCTCTCTTTAGTTGCAAGCTCTCTTCAGGGAACCCGGTCGGTCCGCACGTTCTCAAAATGATTGGTTACATAACCAATCTGGGGAAACTCGGGTTCTCCTTGCAGAAGGAGTTGGCAACGGACCTGATCCTGCAGTCGCTCCCTGAGCTGTATAAGGAAGTACTCTGTAATAGAAAAATAAATGGTACCGTTCATAGTTTTAAAATTTATATACAATTTTTTTCAACTAAAAAAGTTTATATTATTTTTTAAAAATAAATGCATGCTTATGCATATTTGAAAGTGAAGGGCATTATAAAAGTTTAATTAAATAATTTTAATTTAATATTAAAAAGTGAAGGGTATAGAAAAATTGTTTAGGAAATTTTAAAAAAATTAATATTGTGTGTATATTTTTTTATATATTTATATAAATTATATCAATAAAATTTTTTAAGTGTTATATATTTATGTGGATTTTCATTTTCTTCACTCTCTTAATTAATTGCCTCATGCATTTATATAATAATTAGTTGACAGAAAGTTGATTAAAATAAAATTTACTAGCATGACATGGCATGATGTGGCAGCACATTTGGCAATAAAAATGATGATGTGGCATGACACATGTTGAATTGGCAATTGAATGTGGCATGAACAGTTCCAAAAGTCAAAACTGGACAAAGACATTGGGACGGAGGTAGTAATTTTTTTCTTTGTCATCTCGATAATTTTTAGTTATTTATATATTTTATTAAATATTTGATAATATAAAATATTTTTATCATCTCTCGTTTTGTAGAAATCTTGACATACTTCGTAGTTTTTTAATACTCCCTCTGTCAATAAAAAAACTTCTCGATTTTATCAGGAACGCATATTTATAACCCTATTTGCCTTCTCCACTCTCATGAGCCATCTATCTTTACTGCCACCGCCCACGGTGACTCTCCAGCTTCACCGTCGACCACTCTTCGACAGCACTACCAACGACCTATCTAGTTCTTATCACCGACCCACCTCCAAACCCTCCCACTGTTGCAAACCCCCGTCGTTGCAACCCCCCCATCGCAGATCTACAAATAAAGTTTTACATAAAATAGAAACGGGAAGTATATTTTTGGACGAATGAAAAAAGAAAGTGAGAAAATTTTTTGCTCTTGATGTACGAATAGTGGATGTAATTTTTTTTATTACATGCAGCAGAAATGTGGATGCTACGGTGGATGTGTGGGCAAACAAGGTTGGATAAGACCCTGGATGAGGTTATTTATAAATGGGTGGGAGAGTCTTCGGTGGAGGATAAGTTATGAGAGGTTAGGTTGAGATAGTTTGATCATGTGAAAAGGCGTGTATTTGAGGCCTAGTGCGGATATGCGAGAGACTTTCGATAGTTGGAAGGTTCGGGGGTAGGAAGAATTAGAAGGAGGTGGTTAGGCAGGGGCTTTACCGAGGATATGGCCTTAGATAGGGACGTCTGGAGATCTAGGATTAGAATAGTTGGATAGTCGTTTAGTCTAGGGTGCTAGTTTTGTTCGTGTTGTTATGTAGTGTGTTGGCTTGACGTATTTCTTCTTCCAATTTTCTAGGTACCTTATGCCTTATCGTTTTTTCACTCACCCCTTAGTGTACTTTATCCTCTTGTCGTGCTACTTGATTTTTGTGCTATTTTAGCTTGGGGTCTCTTAGAAACGCTCATCTACTTTTAGTAGGGGTAAAGTTGTGTACGCACACCCTCCTCAAACCCTGCTTTTATGGGATTCTATTGAGTTGTTGTTTTTATACCAATTCTAAATAAAGTAATTTCAAAAGACGAAAGGATTTGCCTCGTAACTCCCAATTTGTAATCAAATTAAGGATGGAGGGAGGATATGTCCATTATAACATGGTGTACAAATTTGGGTACAAAGTTGAGGTACCCCTAACACACCTCTATTTATTAACAAAAAGTGCTTGATTTACCAAGGGTAAACCACATATGTACACCAATATGCTCTCTACCACACATTTTTGATGTAGATATGAAGATAGAAAAGTTAATAAGAAATGTGGGCTGAGGAGTTTGGTGATGTACAAATAGAGTACATTTTGGGTGTACTTCTAACATTAGTCATTCATAAATCATGCACCCTCATCCCAAAAAAATTCTTAGTTCAACTTACAAATTACAATGTCCAATTGGTTGTATTTCGAATTTAATTTATTTTAAAATTACTGTAAAACCTAAAAAGTTATGTAATAAAAAACCAATTAAAAAGTTTATAAGATAAAAATGAAATGACTATTTTATTTTGTTAAATAATGAATAAAAAATATTTACAGAGCAAAAAAAATTATGGTTTGATCATGTGAATAAACATGTGAGACATCTTTTTTTGTTATGGAGGAAAACATTTTAAGAATTATTAAGTAATTTTTTTTGCTTTTTGACCCATAACAATAATTTTAGATGTCAAAGTTCTAATTCTCAATTTGCGTAAGGATGAGGTTCCGTGCTTGATACCTGCAGAACCACCAAGCTTTACATGATTGCTTCTCATCGCAGCCGCCAAACATCGAATTCGGGATCTTTTCTTTACAGCACCCCTATCTGAACCGCTGAGCTACGCTTCACCATCTAGAGTTCCACATTTCCACATACAAATGGATAGGGTTTCAGCTCAGAACCGAAATTGACGATTCTAAAATTGGACAACAACCAAATAAGTGGATAAGTAGGAACGATCGAATGGGTATAAAATCTATACAAATCTACCATTAATCTCCTAAATTTTAATAGGAAAAATTGATATAAATACTCCCAGAAATTCGAAATTTTACAATAATACTCCCAAATTTAATAAAAGACTCTAGTACTCCCAATTAAACTATAAGTTCACATTACTACTCCCATTATGCTTAATCATCTTTTCTTAAGCTTACATGTAAGTAATTATGCTTAGTTGACATCTTAGTTGTTTTTTTGTTTTAATAAGAGGAAAAAATTGTATAAATACTCCCTGAAATTCAAAATTTACAATAAAACTCTCAAAACCAAATAAAGACTCCAGTATTCTAAAAAATATCTTCCTTTTACGTGTTACGATGTTTCATAAAAGTGGTGTGAAATCAAAAAATAAATAATATATCTAAAAACTACATCATAAGATTTATAAAACAAGTAATGATATAATTATATTATTTTATCAAGTACTCCGTATATAATTAAAATAGGTAAGCAAAGTAAATAAAACTTGATCTTGTTAATACTTTTAACAGTGAATGAGAAGATAATTTTTGGACGGAGGGGGTATTTTGTATTACTATATTAGTTTTTTAAAGGGAGTATTTTTTAGAGTCACACCACTTTTATGAAACATTGTAACATGTAAAAGGAAGATATTTTTTAGAGTACTGGAGTCTTTATTTGGTTTTGAGAGTTTTATTGTAAAATCTTGAATTTTAGAGAGTATTTATAGAATTTTTTCCTCTTATTAAAACAAAAAAACAACTAAGATGTCAACTAAGCATAATTACTTGCATATAAGCGTAAGAAAAGTCGATTAGGCACAATGGGAGTAGTAATGTAAACTTATAGTTTAATTGGAAGCACTAGAGTCTTTTATTAAATTTGGGAGTATTATCGTAAAATTTTGAATTTCTGGGAGAATTTATATCAATTTTTCCATTTTAATATTACGGAGAATCTCATCTCATATCAGTCATATATAATTCTATATTCTCCGTTTCTCATATTATCTTTATAATTAATAAAATGTATAATACTTTTATATAATATTGAACTGTGATATAAATTTTATATCAATCAATTTTGAAACATAGTTTAAAAATATCATATTTTTATACAGAATATGTAGTTTATAATATACTCTGTAGATACTAATGACTAGAGTAATGCATTGGAAGCCATAAAAAGTTGAATTAAATAAGATATAGGATGGGGTGATATCATTTTTAGTAAGTACTCTCAAAATCTGGAAAGCCCAGTGAAGTAGCTTTTAGACATGGTTGTTTGGTCCAAACCATCCTCTAAATTGTAACTAAAATAGCGTGGGACGAATGCAGTATGAATTTGTAACTAGAATAAAATTAAAAATAATAGAATTTTGCACGTTATTCGAAATGTATGTAAGACAGATGGATTACATAATATGGAGTATGATAATTATACAAGGGCATTTTCAGGTGTAAAATTGTTAGCAGATGTATTTGTTAAATGCCTTGCACACCTCTAGAAGTGTGGTGAATAGAGGTATTCTTGAAAAATAGAGTTTTTGCGGTGCCAAAAATTGCAGGAGCACACAATCAACCAAGAAGATAAACAAAAATAAAAGAGATATATTCGAAGCACCAATATATTCTGGTTCAGCTTAATACCTATGTCATGTCCCCAAAGCAAATATGTTCGAGATTCCACTAACTTCATCAAACTTAACGGAATTTGACAATCTAATTACAGCTCGATAACTTGGTTTTACAAGACTCTAATATTTTCCACTAAAGTCTTGATTTTACAAGACTTTAGATTTCAATCAAAACTTGAACTATTTCAAATTCAAGTTTTTACATCTCAAAAACTTACAATCAAAGTGCACATCGGAAATTACTCTTAAACAAGAGCGGATTGCTATAGATTACAAACAATGTATAGTGTATGGCACACAGAAACTTTCCCAGTTCAAGCCAAAGTTTGACCACCGCGCAAAGGAAAATTATGCCCTAGAAAAGTATAATCCGGTCAAAAGGGAACTCTTGGATGAACTTTCAACCAACACTTGCAAGAAGAAAACCAAAAGGCATAGTTTGGACTAGTGAATCAGCATGGAGAAATATATAAGCGGCTTTTGGGATGAAAATCAACTTTTGTGATTTTTGTTTTTCATATGTTTATGTTTCTGCGCTGGTGTTTGTGGATTTTGTGATATTTTTTTAGATTAAATGTCCTAGATAGTGATGAATATAACTCTATGCTAGCACTTTAACCGTCACTTTTAAGGTTAAATTAAAAAATGTGATATTAAATGCATTATGAAAGCTCTCAACAAAAAAATCCTAAGCCACACGCCTAGAGAAAGCCAAGGCATTTAATGTGATTGTAGATCCATCATCATTGAGTATGAATAGTACTCCATCCGTCTCACTCTCTTTGTCCACTTAACTTTTGGCACAAATACCAAGGAGTGGGATCAGAGAGTGGAAAGGGACTAAAATGCCCATTATGGGCCACGCATGAGGAGAAAAAAAGGGGGAAAAGTGAATGAAAAACAGTGCCAAATAGGTGATTGAAACAAGTACATTGACTACTTTTTGCCCATCCTTTACATCATTAGATTCATTACACACAAAATACATTCAGACGTGATGGCCAAAATTTGGCTCCAAATCTAAATTTAGAAACATTTTTCCCTCCTAAATAAAAAAGTAGGTGAGCTACTCCACCCATGTGTACTCCGTATAAGTCCTACTCTAACAGCCTTTCTTCTTTAACCTTTCTTCTTTTTGCATATTCTTCTTTGCCATTTCTCCTTTTCTTCTTTACCTCTAATATTCTTCTTTGACTCTTCTCCTTTGCCTTTTCTGTATTCTTTGATGGAAGAATCTTAAACATCAAGAAACATGGAAAGGGTAAAGAAAACGCACAAACTTTCAGATGAAGACAGGGCAAACATCATCCAAACAAGGCTACAACACTTAAAGAATGGCCCACCTGCTAGGGGTGTCATGAAAAACCTTGCAGGAAGTCACAACATAAGCTCCAAAACAGTTCAAAGGTTGTGGTGTGAAGCCAAAAAACAGATTCAAGATGGAAAGCCTATTGCCTTACGCAACAAGATGAAAGGCAAAGCATATGGGAGAGAAAAGAAAAACATAACTTTGGATGAGGTATCATGTGTTTCTCCAACCAAAAGAAAGGCCATTTCTAGGTCTAAGAGTACTGTGTACAGGCTAAGGGCATTAGCAAAGGCCATTTCTAGGTCTAAGAGTACTGTGTACAGGCTTGTGAAATGTGGACAGATAAAGGCTCACACAAATCCAATAAAGCCTCACCTCACAGAAGAGAATAAGGTACGAAGATTATAGTTTTGCCTAAGCAAACTACTGCCAAGTACCTTGACTCATAATGAACCCAAGTTTGAATGTTTCTATGATTATGTGCACATAGATGAGAAGTGGTTTTACATTACCCAAACCACTCAAAGAGTCTATGTACATGCACAAGAGGAAATGAACTTGCATAGGACTATCCAATCAAAGAAGTTCATAACTAAAATTATGTTCCTTACTGCATCAGCTAGGCCACAATACTCAGACTCAGGTGAAGTTTCATTTGATGGGAAAATTGGAGTTTCATATTCAAAGAGGCAGCTGTAAGAAACAACAGAAACAGACCTAGGGGTACAATGGTTAACAAGCCTATATTATCTGTAACTAAGGATTGGGCAATAAGATACTTGGGTTGAACCACATTAAAAGATTGAATCCAATCGATTAGTTAGTCCAACTCAAGAGCTTATATACCGGTTATTTTACTCTTGAACTTCCGATGTGGGATGCACTCTAACACTCCCCCTCAAGTGGACAACCGGGCCATTTTGAATCTAACCGGTTGACCACTTGCAAATGAACTCCCATTCCCTTGATTTTTTTTTGAGCGCCAATACCTAAAGGACCACGAGTCGCTGGGTATGGACTTCCAGACGAGCAATCGCGTTAAACGGGCCACAGGCCGTTGGATACATACTCCATACGGACAACTGGGCTAAAGACAAACGGGCCGCTAGGAATGAACGTCTAGACGGACACCTTGACAAACGAGGTGGGCCAAAACCTGCTTTGATACCATGATAGAATTTAGGATGGGGTATGGACAACTGGATTGAGCAATAAGACACTTGGGTTGAACCACATTAAAAGATTGAATCCAATCGATTAGTTAGTCCAACTCAAGAGCTTATATACCGGTTATTTTACTCTTGAACTTCCGATGTGGGATGCACTCTAACACAGTGTATAAGGATTTTTAATTTCTAAAGTGATCCCTGCAATTAAGGCAAAGTGGCCTACAGATGGTTGTAGGAGAATATTCATTCAGCAAGACAACGTAAGGCCTCATATTCCTGGAACTGACCCAGATTTTCTAGTTGTAGCAAAAAGTGATGGATTTGATATTGAGTTAACAATCAACCACCAAACAGTCCTGACCTCAATGTTCTAGATTTGGGTTACTTTTGGTCTATTCAAGCACTTCAACAAGAGAAAAAGTGCAAAAAAATGTACTTGTTGAGGCTGTTGTTCAGTCATACTATGAGTTGGACACAAAGCTATCAAATTTTGTGTGACTTAGTCTACAGTACTACATGGGGGAGGTGATAAAAGTACTTGGGGGTAATGCATACAAGATCCCACATGTTGGGAAGAATACACTGCTCAAGAAAGGAGAACTACCTCAGTCAGTAAGCCCTGACACAGAAGCGTTGCCAAAGCTCATGAACATTTGTCATTGCTAGATATGGATTGGAGAATCTACATGAATGGCAATACAGTTGGACAGTTCATGGATGAAGATGATAATGATCTTTAGATGATCAAAATGCTTTAAAGGAATGAAGTGTGGCTATATTTTGGGCAAAAGTAAGAGCTAACTTTCAAGAAAATGGTATTTTTTTGGTTTAAAGAAAGTGTTGTAAGTTAGGCCTTACTTTTGTAAAAACAAGTGTAGTATTAGGAGGGCCTTTTTTTTGTTATACAGCATATGCAGTAGGTTAGGGGCTTTTTTTTAATATCAAGTGTAGTAACTTAGCCCTGGCTTTTGTAAAACAAAAAGTGTAATATTTGCAACTGTGGTAAAATGTTCCTTTCTAAGGCTAGTTCTACCAAAAAAAGTGTTGAATAACAAGTGTAGTAAATTGTTCCTTTCTAAGGCCATTTGTGCCAAAAAAAAGTTTTGAAGAGCAACTGTAGTATAGTGTTGGAGACAGGGAAAACCTAGAAAAGCCTTTGCTAAGCACAAACTATCCAATTCTAGAGAAGTCTCTTCAACATTCCCCAAAAGGGTGAATGGAGTGACAACAACGCGATTTCTAAACATTATACACTATAGTACATTCATCATTGACCACATCCTCAAAAATCATAAAGGGACACAAGAAGTGTAACGCCCTCAAACCGGCCTAGTTTTAAATAAATAATTATTATTGAGACTCATTATTTTAAATTAATAAATATTGAGATTACGATCCGTTCAAATGATTTCTAAAGCTAATGTATTTTAATTTTAAAAGATGTTTTAATAACGGGTTTCTCGACATTAATTAAGTAAATAAATTAATTAATGATTGTGATGGATTCGGAATTTTGGAAATAAAGTTTTGAGAAAAATATTCTGAGAATATCATAAATTTAGTTTTGACTGTTTATTTCCAAAAGTGCAAACGGTTTTCAATTCGGACAAGTTCGGGGGAAAAGCGCATACCGTTCTGGTCAGATTTTACACGACATAGTAGAATTTAGGGAGATAAATCCCATTCAAACCCACGTCACACACACCCTTCATTTTCCCCACTTTAATACTCCATCATTTTCCCATTTAATTATCCCATTAATCCCCACCATTATTCACTCAATATAATATCTTCTTCCCTCTTCATTTCCCTTCATCATTTGTAACTCCCCTCACACACTCAACCCTCCCCTTTCCCTTCTCTTGTTCGGCCAACCGAGGCAGCCAGGCGAGGTGACCATTCCGGAAAGTAGACGGGGACGTAGAGGAAGGAAGTTCACACGAGAAGTTCGTCCGGTCTTCGTACGTTTGATCGTTGCTAACCGTTCGTTCATCTCGTTTCATCGTTCCGTCAACCCCTTCGTTTAGAGGTGAGTAGTTGTCCCCTCTAATTCTATAATATTTAGTTATAATCTATGTCGTTATATTCATAGGGATATCGTACGCAACCTACGTAGAATCTATGCATGTTCGTAGGTTAACCATTAAAACGTTCACTACGTAAAACTTACATATATTGGCTAGGAATCACTAGGAATATATTCACCAATGTTTGTATTATTGTTCTGAATAGAATCAAGGTGTTAAGTTTTCAAAATGGATCAAAACGTAGCCAAGGACAGAAGACTGTCTTCAGGACGGCCGACCGTCGCTTTGGACGGTGGACCGTACCCTAAGCCATTCCAACGGTCACCACCGTGACGGTCGACCGTCAGCCGCGACGGAAGACCTAAGTGGACCGTCTGTGTTCCAGACCCAGACCGCAGCCCACGGTCGACCGCCGGTAGGGTACGGTCGACCGTTCCTAGGGTAGATTTTCGGGCAGTTTGTAGAATGAGTCCCGTTGATCATATTGACCCAGAATCTGATTGTATGTTTGCGTGAAATGTTAATCTACATTATGTATGTTATTTTATTGATATATTTTTGGCTTGACCAAAGGTAAATATATCAAGCATTCATCGTGTTCATCCTAGACGCATGTTCTAGGTTGTAGGGAGGTCAGGCTTTCGTGCGCCTACTACAGTGGGCCCGTCCAGGAACCTTTAGGATCCAACGGGTTTTCATCAGGTGGGCTTTGTGTACATACATGGTAGTCAGGTTACGGCTACCACCCGGTTTTGGCAGTCCACTTGCAACACTTTCGTCGAGCCCGGCTCATTACCGTTTTGGTATGATAACCGGAGTGCAGGGGTGATCCTGTCCAGTGAGACTAAGCTAGGGGTGTCCATGATAGTTTAGGTCATGCATCAAGTCGTATCATCATCATGTATGTTCCACATCACATTCACATTCAATGTGGTAGCACATCATTTTGTTATACGTAATGGTACTCTAACAGGTGCAAACTAAACAATTAGTAAACATGTGGTTTTCCGTACGTTAAGTACAGGTATTAATATGAGTATAACCATATGGGTTATCACTTTCTGTTCTTTTGTTAGATTCACTCCTCAGCTTTTGCTGAGCGTGTAGTTGTTTTTGCTACACGTAGGTAGTCATGACGGTACAGGTGCTAACCTTGGAAGATGTTAGACAAGGCGTGCAACTCTAGAGGGGGGGTGAATAGAGTTGTTGAGAATGTTTACCGATTTTCGCAGGATTAATAATATAAACGTAAGTGCAGCGGAAATAAAATAGAGAAGGGAAAGAACACACCGATGTATACTGGTTCACCACCTCGTGGCTAGTCCAGTTCCCCGAGAGACTCTCTCGAAGCTACCACTACTTTCGTTAAGCTTACGGGTGCTTAACAAACCGTTTACAACTCGAGAACTTGAATCCCACAAGCCTCGACACAACCGCTCGTAGATATGCCCTCTACAAGACTTCACAACCAAGACTTAAATCACATAAGCCTTGAACAACAAGAAGAACAATCTTCTTCAACCTCTCAACAATAGCTCTCAAAAGAGTAGATAAGAGAAAAGATTAAAGCTCTAATGGATGACAAGAA